ATTTATTAGATGCTTGATTTTGTTTGTTTACTGTACATATTTAGTTTTTACTCTTTCCTATTATATAATTAGTAATAAGAACTGTTTAACAACTTATGTAAATATAAAATATAATTATGCTGCAAAACAGTTAAAAACAGAACTGAACAGTATACAGTTAAACCTGTGTTGTTTACACATTAGCACACAGCAGCTTCTCTGGCTCAAAAATGGAGCTGAACTTTGCTTCACATCCTAATTTCTCAAGTCATTTGTCTCATACATGCATCTTGTTCGCTCATGCTGTATCTCTGAGCATCAGTTTAGTAAATATCACCATCGTTCACGCTGTCAGTATTACCAACGTTTTTTCTAGTTTAGTTGAGGCGATTAGGTGCGAGACTCCGCTGCTGAGTGACAGAGTTGACCAAAGGAGGCACACCACGCTAGCGGGCTGCTATGAAAAAAGCTAAATAAGGCTAAATCGAGGCTAATGGCTGTCTTTACCATAGATATACATACCTAGATACCGCGTTGTCTGTTGTTTTACTATCTGAGGCAATTCGTCTGGACCCTATGTTGGAGCGGTCAAGATTTGCTTGTGAACAAATTCAGTTGTATTGAGAGATGATAAGAAGCAGCTCAGCCATTCAGGTAAGCAGCTTCATTAGCATGTTCTTAACAACAGAAACAACAAAAACGAGACATAAGTCTCGGTTTCCCTGCATTTAAGTGCCAGTATCGCCGCAGATACAGATGCAGTATATCACTAATTACAACCATCAATAAAAAGAGCTAGTTAAAATTCTGAGCTAGCTGCCTGATGCCCAATATATTTTTTATAGTCGTTTTTAAGATAAACTTTTAGGCTACTTTTTAAAATCCATGGTGGAGGGTGATGTAAGGCAAAGTAGTTCCCAAATATATATATATTTTTTTTCCGGATTTACCAATGTTTTGCCATTCTCGGGATTACATATTTAACACTCAGAAGTCATGTGTAGGTTCACTGGTGGTTTTGGAGAGCAAATAAAATGGCTATATTTGTGTTGTAGGCTTTGTGACCCCCTGGTTCCTATCACCACAACTATAAAGAAGTATGAATCTATATGTCTCTCTACAATGAACCATGTCACATCAAACTACTATAAATGACTTTGTTTACAACTCAGTTATTGATTTATGCATACATTTTGAAAAATTCCCTTCTAAGTTAGTTTATTGTCTGTTACAAAAGTTGTTATGAGGAAACCAATGAAAACCTGGTTTAAAAGGTTTATTATTTGTGCAATATCATATAATGCTGGCTGTGCTTGGTCTAACAGAAGTTTGTCTAAGGGGTTTTTAACTGCAACTGAGGATATTGAAATAGTGTTATGAACATTGTTATGAACGAAAGTTGTCATGACATCAAAAATAAACATCTAGATCAGAATGCTTTGCACTTATAAATTGACTGATTGGCGCTCACAACATTTTTGGTTTTACCATTTCAAACAATCATTAACAGAAACCCTCTCTCACTTTTCTGTTCTTTTAGTCTTTTTCCTTCTCTTTGATAAAAATTCAGTCAGCCAAAATTAGCCCACCAAGAGCGTATAAAAAATCTAAAAACATTTAGAGAAGTAAATGAGAAGTCCTGTCTCTCTTCTTTCTCTCTCTCTCACACTCTTTTCCTCTCTTTCTGTCATTCCCTTATTTGTTCTCACTGTAGTAGGTTGAGTGGAAAATTGGAGACAGGCTGTGGCAGTGTAGCCAGAGGCTCTGGAGCACCAGGGGAGCAGTGGCTTGATGGTCTGTCAACTTGTTAACATGCCCTGGGCAGGGCCTCTGGAGTCAGGGAGGCTCTCTCACAGACCCCTGGAGTGTCTGACTCTTGCATTGCCAAGCCTGAAGCTGAGGAAGTGGTACATCTACTGAGCCCAGGGTTGTAATCCACTAGGAGAAATAAAGTTAACTGTGTTTGTGTGTGTATATATATATATATATATATATATATATATATATATATATATATATATATATAGTCATTTCTCTTTCCCTCTGAAGAGCTCTGTGTGTACAATATTATCCCATGATTAGTGTTTGTATCCTCTGGCTCTCCACAATGATAGCAAGGTACATACTCTACCTGACACTGTATCTAGCACCTCAGCATAGTCTACACTGTATCTAGCACCTAGCATACTCTACCTGACACTGTATCTAGCACATCAGCGATACATCTCTTTAATTAAAAAAAGCTGCTTTTAAAGCAAGGTTGTTTGTATGAGCTTTAGAAGTTCTACAGTGTAGAGCAGAGATGTGCATTCTGATTAATTTTAAAATTTGACTGTTTGTAAGAGCTAACGAATGGAAATTTGGGTAACTGCAGGGAAGGAGGGTCAAAAAACACTCCTCGGCCGACATTAACATAGGACTGTAGGTTTACTTTATTTTGTTGGCTCTGGTGTTAGCAAGCAAAAAAAAAAAAATAAAAAAATAGTAGCAGAGCCATTATGCTGAAGGGTGAGGAGTACATTTGAAAATGTTTCAGTATCCAAAAAATAGCTCAGGGAAATCTTTTTGTCACTGCAAAATAAACTGATTTGTTTTCATGTCGGATGAGCAGTGGAAGCTGCTTTTTTGTATGAGCTAATGAGCTAACATTAGAGATAACTGGCGCAATGTTAGAAGTTAATGAGACCATCTTCTTACGTGAGATCTTTTTTTTGTCAGTTAATGGTGTGCCAACATACTAGTTTGTTGAGGTAACATTGAGAATAGAGACATATCTTTTAATTGTTTCTGTATCTAGCTAACCTCAGTTGGAGTAGTTAACCCAGTTACAGCCAGTCATGTGTGCAAACAAAGCTGTCACACTGTACAGCTTCCCTGCAGGCACAGGACGTCAATTTGCCGTCAGACAGACGTTGGACTCCAACGTTGGACAGACGTTGAGTTTTGGTTGAAAATGAAAATCGGGCTGACGCCAAAACCCAACGTTGGCTTGACGTCAACTCCCGACGTTGGACAGACGTTGAGTTTTGGTTGAAAATGAAAATCGGGCTGACGCCAAAACCCAACGTTGGCTTGACGTCAACTCCCGACGTTGGACAGAGGTTGAATTTTGGTTGAAAATGAAAATCGGGCTGACGCCAAAACCCAACGTTGGCTTGACGTCAACTCCCGACGTTGGACAGACGTTGAGTTTTGGTTGAAAATGAAAATCGGGCTGACGCCAAAACCCAACGTTGGCTTGACGTCAACTCCCGACGTTGGCCAGAGGTTGAGTTTTGGTTGAAAATGAAAATCGGGCTGACGCCAAAACCCAACGTTGGCTTGACGTCAACTCCCGACGTTGGACAGACGTTGAGTTTTGGTTGAAAATGAAAATCGGGCTGACGCCAAAACCCAACGTTGGCTTGACGTCAACTCCCGACGTTGGACAGACGTTGAGTTTTGGTTGAAAATGAAAATCGGGCTGACGCCAAAACCCAACGTTGGCTTGACGTCAACTCCCGACGTTGGACAGACGTTGAATTTTGGTTGAAAATGAAAATCGGGCTGACGCCAAAACCCAACGTTGGCTTGACGTCAACTCCCGACGTTGGACAGAGGTTGAATTTTGGTTGAAAATGAAAATCGGGCTGACGCCAAAACCCAACGTTGGCTTGACGTCAACTCCCGACGTTGGACAGACGTTGAATTTTGGTTGAAAATGAAAATCGGGCTGACGCCAAAACCCAACGTTGGCTTGACGTCAACTCCCCGACGTTGGCAGAGGTTGAGTTTTGGTTGAAAATGAAAATCGGGCTGACGCCAAAACCCAACGTTGGCTTGACGTCAACTCCCGACGTTGGACAGACGTTGAGTTTTGGTTGAAAATGAAAATCGGGCTGACGCCAAAACCCAACGTTGGCTTGACGTCAACTCCCGACGTTGGACAGACGTTGAGTTTTGGTTGAAAATGAAAATCGGGCTGACGCCAAAACCCAACGTTGGCTTGACGTCAACTCCCGACGTTGGACAGAGGTTGAATTTTGGTTGAAAATGAAAATCTGGCTGACGCCAAAACCCAACGTTGGCTTGACGTCAATCCCCGACGTTGGACAGAGGTTGAATTTTGGTTGAAAATGAAAATCGGGCTGACGCCAAAACCCAACGTTGGCTTGACGTCAATCCCCGACGTTGGACAGACGTTGAATTTTAGTTGAAAATGAAAATCGGGCTGACGCCAAAACCCAACGTTGGCTTGACGTCAACCCTCCGACGTTGGACAGACGTTGAATTTTGGTTGAAAATGAAAATTGGGCTGACGCCGAAACCCAACGTTGGCTTGACGTCAACTCCCAACGTTGGCCAGAGGTTGAGTTTTCGTTGAAAATGAAAATCGGGCTGATGCCAAAACCCAACGTTGGCTTGACGTCAATCCCCGACGTTGGACAGACGTTGAATTTTGGTTGAAAATGAAAATCGGGCTGACGCCAAAACCCAACGTTGGCTTGACGTCAATCACCGACATTGGACAGAGGTTGAATTTTGGTTGCAAATGAAAAATCAGGCTGATGTCAAAACCCAGCGTTGGCTGTGCATCAACCTCCAACGTCGGACAGAGCATTTGGGTGCCTTGCTCAAGTGCACTACAGTTGCCAATAGGAAGTGTCTGGGATTGAACGGCCAACCCTGCAATTAGTGAACAACCCGCTCTACCACCTGTACCATGACTGCCCCATCCTAGCTGTGGCCACCTTAACGCCTTTCTGAAAGTCACCTTAAAAAAAATAAAGTAAAATAAAAAAATTAAACACACACACACACACACACACACACACACACACACACACACAACAACAAAAAACACAAAGCAACGACTCCTTGAAAACACGTCTTTTTCAAGCTGTTCAGGCTGACGTCAATACCCAACGTTCTTCATCGACTTGAATTCAACCTAACTTCAACCATGAATTCATGCTTACATATTATATTCATTATATCATATATTCATAATTGTTCTCAAAATAAGACAGCTGACAAAAAAGTACCAATAAAACATTTGCTTATTTATTTTAGTAAGACAACTAAAGACAACATTTTTCAAAGAAACAGAAAAAAAACATCGTTAAATTGGATACATATTGTGCTCCTAACTGTTTTGGGTTGGACGTGTAGCCTCCACTGCCAAACTGTCCAGGGGCTTGTTAAAGGTGGTCTGCCACGGCACAGGAAATATGTTCTGATCCTTGCTGTACCACTTTTTGACAGAAGCTGCAATGACAAAGAAAAACTAATCAGTCTTTGTCTAATGATGATTACAGACTACAATCAGAGGAGCCAATTAAAAAAAAAAAACAAACATTGTAATAGACCATGACATAGGGTGCAGGTAAGTAATTAGCCTAAGCTAGGGCTGCTTATATGCAATGCAGAAAATTAGGATTATTAACGGCCTATTAAGATGGTACTTGTAACTACACACTCAAATGCTCTTAAAGTTGAATTGGAAATCAAAACGCATTTTTTTTTCTTAACGTGACATATTTCCGAGTGAAACAGACTACTTGGGTGGGAAATAACTGTGGGAAAACTGTTTTTTTTTTTTTTTACTTTCAAATACATAGACGAGGCGAAATGCTAGGCAGCAGGCTAGCCTGTTAGCATCCATTTTGCTCTCGCTTTTGTTAGACTTTCATGACACCTTGACATCTTTTTCCTGAAGTTTAACAACATCTGAGCAAGAGATGGACTGTGTATGTCTGTGTAACTGTGCATGTCACTCCTTTACCAGCTAATTTCTATATTTATATCACCAGTTAAAATATATAAATATATTTATATATTTCATGTTCACTGATATACATCACATATTGCACAAGCAGCCCCCCACATATCACTGTATTGAAAATTTCCCAAAAATTACATTTTTAAGCAAAACTGTTCAGTTTTGTTATCTTGTGGGCCTTCCTGCTTTCTAGTGATAAACAGGTGGGTCTTGAGGTGGACAAGTTTGAGAACCCCCGCATTACAATACTTAAGAAAGTAATGTATTTAGAAAACATTTGGAATACATACACATTCTGAGAAAACCTCTGCAGTACTTTTTATTTCACACTGTTCCTTACTCAGTAAGGCAGTAAATGTAATTATGTTAATGTTTCATGAAAAAATTAAATTATTCAAATGAATGCAAAAATGATTACAAAATTCCCAACATTATTTTGGCTCTCATGGCCTGTTTCAGTCCACTATTGCTCTTATAATCATGCTACCTTTTCACCAAAAATTTGCCATATCCCAATAATAAAATCTATTGTATTGCTAATTTGACAGTAACATGGGTAGCTGTATGATTTTTAGTTAATAATGTTATATGTAACATGGCCAAATGCATGCAGAAGTCCAGTACAACACTATCGCTTATCACTTGTGAACATTTAAACTACTCAGAAGACTGTTCAGTTTAATCATCCCCCAAAGCAGTTCAGTAACACTGAGATTAATAACTGACTCATCACACTGATTTATCAGTATACACCGGTTATGTATTAGTCTATATTAGACAGTCTCATTTGTTCCATATACTAATAATAATTATGCAACATTTGGTTCCGAGCTGATTGGTTGAGAAGTGTTGTAATCGTGCTGATATTTGTGACAACAGCACTGTTTTTTCCACAGCAAAACTGTATCACTCCGCTGACGTGTTGCCAAGTAACAAGTTTACAGGCTTTATGCATGCAAACCTTAGTTGTTTTGTATTTGTGCTCATACAAAATGAGACATTGATAAGATGGATGATTTTAAGATAACATTTGACCTGCAACCTGTTAGGACAGAAGAGTGTGACTGCAGACGCACATCAAATTCTGAACCTTGATATTTCTACAGTTCTATGGCTCTATCTGTACCACAAAAGGTGAGATTTATAGTATCAGCAGTTATCTTGGGCTGTGCACAGGGCACAACAAGCTAGGGCAGAGGTCGGCAACCCAAATGCTGAGAAAAGCCATTTTGGCCTTTCGACAAAAATCAAACCACCTTGGGAGCCACAACAATGTCAATTTTACCATCTTGGCTGTAAATATGTCTCAGTACGTGCTAATGTCCTAGTATAGGCTAAAAAATATAATATAAACGAAAACACATGCTTAATTTGCTCTGCTTTAAGCTTTAGCTCAGCCATAGCCGCTTTTCTCACATCTCTAGCAGGAAAGTTTTCCTCAAAAGGAATAGTTTTTGAAAAATGTCTCTAAATATTTGATTTTTTAATGAGGCTGAAGTCGCTTCTCATTCGCCAGCTTCATGTTCAAATTTTCATATTCCACCTTAAATGATGCCTGACGTACCAGAATGTAACTGCTGCATCATTTAAGGTGGAATGGGAAAATTTGAATGAGAAACTGACTTCAGCTTTGCAACTTTAGTGTTTGGCAGTTTCTTGTTACAGATTAAACGTATCAGGAAACCAGCTGGAGTGTTTATAATTGCAAATAAGTCCATTCATCTCCAAATTATCAATGTTCGTCTTAAATCTCTCTCTGCCGTTTCGTTAGCTACTAGCTAGGTGAGGTTGTTGTGTGTTGATATGGTGACCAGCAGTCTGCGCGCCAATCTTCAGGGTTAAAGGGTGAATTAGCAATTATACATTAACTCCAGTGTTTAAGACCATTTATTGTTAAACTGTGTTGAATGATCAGCAAAGCTTTATTTTACTGCAAATGAGTATTATTTTTTTTACCTAAAAATCTAATTCTGCTGTGGGGCTGCAACAGGGCAGTAAAAGAGCTACGTTGCCAACCCCTGGTCTAGGGAATTTTACCATTGCATAGCAACAACTCATTTGTTGTAGAACTACTTTTTGGCAGAAGGTATTGTCAGTATTAAAGCATATTCAGTATGAAACTCTTTGATTTATTTTGTTTGTTTATTTTGTAGAAACTGTATAAAAGCAATAGAACACTCAAGGTGGTGTTATAGCGAATAACATCACGGCTGTGATAATCTAATCATATATCAAATCATAGCCGTGACATTATTATGCAATAACACACGATCTTGAGTGTTCTATTGCTTAAATAGCCATCAAACAGAACTAGAATTCATGCCTTATGATAATAAGCCACCCCACTGTGCATCAGAACTCAGAACATGCAACTTGTAACCATATCTGTAATGTTACAAATGAAAACAAATACAGCTGATACTGATAATCACAACTTTTGGAGGTCAGTGCCGCCGCTCACTTCTAAGCTAATCCAAACAATAGTGTCGAACGGCAATGAAAGGCGTTTCCATAAAATGAGAACGCCCACATCAGGAACACCCCCTTAACTTTCATTGGCTGATATGTCTGCAGAATGGCTTCTCTCATTGATGGATATGACTCAATGGTGAAAATACACCAGTATTTGTAAAGACGTTACGCATTCTAAATTAATATTGTTTTTACATGTTTTACATGAGCATTTAAAAATATGCACAAATGTACCGATTTTTATGATTTGTATAGAGTACTTTCTCACGGTTTTGTGATCCCCGACTTGAACTTGCAGTCTGAATGCCTATGATTGCTAATGGTAGCTATCAGCAGCGTTTTCAGCAGTACTACACAATCTGCTCCACACCAAGCATTATTTAAATTAATGGGCAATAATGGATTATAATGTGGATTATAATGTCCCTGATGATCAAAACCATTAAGAGTTTCTGTTGGTTCTTGGGGGTTTGTAATGTGTTTTGGCTTTTCTTGATGGGTTGATAATGTAAACGATCCTAACGATTTAACAAGTGATCTAGTGACAGATTCCAGATACATTTCTAATGCTTCACTTGGAAAATATTGGTCTCTATTGGTAAATATTAAGCTAATTCCCATTAGGGGGCAAAAACCATTAGGTTTTAATCCTAATGGTTCTAATGGTCTTTATTCAGCAGGGGTTATTGTTGTGCTGCCAGCTTGCACAACATAACTGAAAGTTGGGTATTGTTGACTTTCAAGCAACTAAATAAAATGATAAAATGTTAATGTAACAGTAAACTTACCGACATCACAATCTAATGAAGGCACTCGTTAATCTTGACCTTATTGATCTTTTTCGTGCTGTTCTGTTCACTCTGGAACATAACTGTGGCTTTTACTTCAAGCCCACGTGCCCGTGACATCACGTGAGGGGCGTTCCTGGGGGGATAGATCACAGAAATGCACACAAGTGGGATGCATTACCAATACTACTACTACAAAAAAAATAAATAAAAAAAGAAGAGAAACCTTTTCAGTCTGTGTATCTTTTGGTTATTCAACTGTCATTTCAAAACCAGCATTGAAAAATGGGAAAATGGGTCAATTCTCGTTTTTGGTTTTGTTTTTGTCAGTGCAAACACTAAAAATTTGCTTTGTTTTACAGTTTCACAAACTAATCATAAAATCAAAAAACAAACAAAACAAACAAACAAACAAACAACAATTCTTCACAACAAACAGCACAACAGGACCTAAAGCCCAACACAGAGTCTCCTCTCTCAGCGAGAGTTTAGTTTAATGTAAGGAAGGCGCTGGTGCTGCACTCGGAGGACTGAATGGCTTTCTGTCGTAATGAAGGTGTCTTGATAAAGAAGGAGACACAGGAGAGGCTACAGAATAACACAAATAACACATACATACATTTTAGACTTACAGAACAACATTAACATTATTAAACCACGACAACGTCCCTTTTTACGGGGGCGGAGCCGCTGCGCAGCTCTGCATAACGCGCCTCTAAAGCTCCCTCCCAAAACCAGTGGCAGCTGCCACAGTATTATAAGAACAATCTGAACACAGGACAGCTCACAGCTTTAACTCTTAGGTCTGGAGCTGTTTACATCTGACAGTGTGACATCACAGTATTCATTTTCCTCATCATTACTGGGCAGCGTGACTCATTTCTCTCTTTGATTTCGCTGTTAAATGGCAGGAGTTCTGTAAAGTCTCTTCCCCAGATCACTTAAGCTTTCTTCCTGATAGGATATATTTTATTTATTTATTGTTTAAGTGATAGAAAATGTTAAAATTAAATACATAAAATACGACCCCTTATTCCTCTTCTGTTTTTTATTATTTTATCATATGTTTGTGAAACTGTCAAACTGTGAAACTATTTCTTTATTTTCCACTGACAATAACAGAACCAAAAACAACAACTGACCCATTTTCCTGTTCTACAAAACTGGATTTGAGATGAAAATCGAATGACCAAAAGATACACGAACCCTTTTCCCTGAGACATAAACGCGCCTTGCACACATGCTCTCAAAATAACTTGCTCAAGAAAGAGCGGAGGTCTCTCTCTGAGCGAGTGTCTCTCTCTCTGAAATAAACAGCAGCTGCCAACCGGTCAGTAAAACACGGGTCAGACGCTGCAGGCACGTCAGTGACTTTTAAAAACGGTGCAAACAACCTGCCTGCCTGGCTGCGCTCCATCCAAACGGACCAGCTTCACACTAAACCCCGCATCACAGATCCAGTTTCCCTCCAGCGCTGCGATACAGGATGCTGGCTAGGCTGAGAATGACGAGCTGATATGGCGCTAGCATTAGCCGCTAACGGAAACCTAGCTAGCTTCAGCTTACACTGCCACAAACAACACAGACAACCCGCACCGCCTGCCTGTCTGCGCTTCATTCACACGGTCCGACTTCACACTACAAACCCACCCGAGCCTCACAAACCCAGTTTACCTCCACTGACTCAGCACAGTGCGGCAGCTATGCTAGCTAACACTGCCGGGCTAATTTGGCGCTAGCATTAGCTGGTAACAGAAACCCAGCTTCTGGCTGTCGATCTAAACTTATTAGCTCGACTAAACTTTAGTAAAGCACACATTTCTGTACAACCCGAATAAATTATAATTACTGAATACTTACCCAGTGTGTGTGTCCACCGCTCTCGGTTCGAATCTTCAGTCTTGGCCGCGGTTTTTCAAACGGCGCCCCGCCCTCCTCCTCCTCCTCCTCACCCAATCACCTGCAACTACTGTGACTTGAATTTTGAGTGACCAATCAGTCAAAACATGCCACTCTGTCGCTCTGTAGTGCTGTCACCGAAATTCGTGTCCTGTGGTTGTGTGCGTGTCATGCAGCAGGAAAATACATTAGATACATTTATTAAAAGAGCAGTAACATCACAGTTTATTGGTATGACATATTTTAACCATATTTATGTTTGTATAAATATATTTAAGTTATTGAACAGCAGTATGTGTGACATTTTGACAGACTGATTTTGTTTACCCAACACCACAACTGACATCCCACAAAATACCAGGGTCTAAAGCTGTCTGTATCCCACATTAGAAGGACTTTAGCACTGTGACGTTTAGCAGATGTTAGGTTTTGGTTAGTTAACACTGTGACTTCCCAGTTAGCAATATTTATCTCATCTTTAGTTTTGTTTTGGCCCAGTTCTGGCTGGGTCCTCAGCCCAGATCTGGTCCATATACTGTAAAACAAGAAGAACTAATTGATGTGGCCCAGATGAGGCCAATACACTATAAAATTAGTACAACTAACAGATGTTGCCCAACTCTGGCCCATATACTGTAAAGTGAGTAGAACTAATAAATGTGGCCCAGATCTGGCCAACATTCTGTAAAGTGGGTAGAACTAAGGGCTCTGGTCCAGCTCTGGCCCATATACTGTAGTATATATAAAGGTGTGGGCCAGATTTGGCTACCCACTTTAGTCCCCAACCAGGTGTGGCACTGCAGGATGCCACATTCATTTATTGCAGATCATGCAAAATATTAGTAATATCTGTGATTAGTATTAGTAATATTTCTTCTTAATAATTAATAGGTGTCAAAAGCCATTTTAGAATGAAAACTCCATGTTGATTCTGGTTAAATAAATAAAAACAGTAAATGAATGAAGGAACAAAGGCTTCACCTTTGTGACAGGTCGTTCTTGAGCAAAGTGGAGAGGCCACTGAAATACAGGCTAAATCTGACATCTACCTTGGAGCACTGTTCAAATGTAATTTCACAGACATTTTATTTTAAATCAGAGATGGCAAACATGTCTAAAAAAAATCATACTTAAGCGGTCTGTGGAATAAAAAACATTTGTGTATGTCCCTGAAGTATAGGTGTCAACCCATTCAATGTGCCTTCATAAAATACATGCATACATGAGATCAAGCCAACTGTGTATGAGACACTGTTTCGCGGTTTAATTTGATAAACAGCTATGTTTTCTGATTCTGTCTGCAATAATTCATATGATTACTGGAGGATTTTTTTTCCACAGTAAACAAATACAAAGCTGGATAAATCAAAACCTGTCCACTTCCTGATGCCTAAGAAAAGAGGAAATGCATTCAACTATTATTTACTTATTTAACTGATTTCCAGATAACACAGTTTTTGTGTCAAACTGTACAACAAATCCCTTTACCTAGTAATCTGGAACACCGCAATCAGCATTTCCAACAGATCCCTCTACAGGCTGAATATGCTCAGTCACTTTGGTAGTTGTTTCACTGTACGCAGTCACAGAGCTCCAATAACAGCTTGTCTGGAAGGCATGGGTTTTACTTCAGAAACTGAATAATGAGGCAGGAACTCCACAACTGTAAGATCTGTAACAACAAGAAAGGTTTTGTTCTAACAAACATTAAGGAACCCATAATCAAAATTAAGCTACTTACAGGTCGAACTAATGTAAAGCACTCCTGGCAGTGAACTCTCATATGAACCAGGAAATATTGCCTCATTTTAACAATGACAGCATCCATTTTAAAAAATTTTTGTACTTCTACTGACTTATACAGAAGGATGATGTGTGTGCAGAAGAGAGGACCTGCTGCTGTCACAAGACAATGTGCTAGCCCAGAGTAAACGCTCTAGACCCAAGCTAATGTCCTAACTGCAAACTAAAGCGCTGTACCAGTATGGCATAACACTCAAAAAGCACAGGCTATTCCTTTTAAATGCTCAGAGTAGTTAGCTAACGTTAGCTAAGGAAGAAGTTAACATTAGCCATGATGAATTAGCAATTAAGGGTAATGTAGCTAAACCTTGTGCTGATAGCCGTTACATTAACCTAGCTACCCTGTGCTTTTCAAGTGTTATGCTAAAATGGTACTGTTAGAAATTTAGTTATAACTTTTCATTTTCCATACTGGAACCTTATAATTTGAAATTATTCAATTATTACTCTTCCATTTGCCTTCTTTTCAAACCTAGCTGCCAGCTTGTCCATATGAAAATGGTGAACTTGTGCTGGAAAATTCATTAAATGAGGGTCTTAACCTTCAATGGGTGAACTCTAATTGCACTTAAGACATGCCAGACTAGGGTCAAAGGTACTGAGGTGTAAATCAGCCAATCTGCTGCAGCATAAAGGTGTGGCCCTCTTCCTTCATCCACATTGTTGGGCCACAACATTCATGTCAGAATTGGCCCTTAAACGTAGATACAATTTAAGACCATGCACAGCTGTCCAGCATCTGGCCCAATTCTGGCCCACACTTGGGTATGTAAGCCAGAATTGGCCAAGAACTGTCTGCTATTTGGGTGAGCTACTTATGACATGTCAGACATAGGTCAAAAGTACTGAAGTGTAAATCAACTGAGCACAAGTCTGCTGCAACTTAATTGTGCTGTGGCCCTCTTCCTTCATCCACACTGATCGGCCATAACATTCACGCTAGAAGTGGCCCTTACACGTAAATGTGACTTAAAACCATACACAGCTGTCCAGCATCTGGCTAATATCTATCTGGAAGTCAACAAACACTCACGGATGTAAGCCAGAATCGGCCGAGAACAGTCTGCTGTCTCAGTTAGAGCCAACAACATGTCATAGTCTATTGATGTTAGAATTTTGTTTCATGAAGGTTAAAACTCTGACACCATGGCCTAAAACCAACATTGGCATAAGACATGTGGAAGACGTTGGATGTTGGTTACATGACACTGAAATTTTAAACCAACAAAATATCAACTTATAATAATGTTAGAATGTCATGTCGAATTCACCATACTCATGACTGCATGTCAGTATTCGAAATCAATATGATGTTGGGATGTGACGTTTAGAAGACGTTGGATCTTGGTTAGTGAACATCACGCTTTAAAACCAACAAAATATGAACATCTAACATTGTTAGAATGTTGCGTCAATTTGACGTTAACGTTATGACGTTAAATAGACGTTGGGTTTTGGTCAACATACATCACGACCGCATGTCAGTTTTCTACGTCAACCTGATGTTGGCATGTGACGTTTGGAAGACGTTGGATTTTGGTTACTTTACATCACAACTTAAAACCAACAGAATATCAACGTCTAATGATGTTAGAATGTTACGTCAATCTGACGTTAAGGTTATGACGTTAAATAGACATTGGGTTTTGGTCACCATACCTCACGACTGCATGTCAGTATTCTATGTCAGTATGACGTTGGGATGTGACGTTTGGAAGACGTTGGATCTTGGTTAGTGAACATCACACCTTAAAACCAACAAAATATCAACGTCTAATGATGTTAGAATGTTACGTCAATCTGACGTTAAGGTTATGACGTTAAATAGACGTTGGGTTTTGGTCACCATACCTCACGACCGCATGTCAGTATTCTACGTCAATCTGACGTTGGCATGTGACGTTTGGAAGATGTTGGATTTTGGTTACTTTACATCACAACTTAAAACCAACAAAATATCAACGTCTAATGATGTTAGAATGTTACGTCAATCTGACGTTAAGGTTATGACGTTAAATAGACGTTGGGTTTTGGTCAACATACCTTACGACTGCATGTCAGTTTTCTACATCAGTATGACGTTGGGATGTGACGTTTGGAAGATGTTGGATCTTGGTTAGTGAACATCACAACTTAAAACCAACAAAATATCAACGTCTAATGATGTTAGAATGTTACGTCAATCTGACGTTAAGGTTATGACGTTAAATAGACGTTGGGTTTTGGTCACCATACCTCACGACTGCATGTCAGTATTCTACGTCAATCTGACGTTGGCATGTGACGTTTGGAAGACGTTGGATTTTGGTTACTTTACATCACAACTTAAAACCAACAAAATATCAACATCTAATGATGTTAGAATGTTACGTCAATCTGACGTTAAGGTTATGACGTTAAATAGACGTTGGGTTTTGGTCACCATACCTTACGACTGCATGTCAGTTTTCTACGTCAGTATGACGTTGGGATGTGACGTTTGGAAGACGTTGGATCTTGGTTAGTGAACATCACACCTTAAAACCAACAAAATATCAACGTCTAATGATGTTAGAATGTTACGTCAATCTGACGTTAAGGTTATGACGTTAAATAGACGTTGGGTTTTGGTCACCATACCTCACGACTGCATGTCAGTTTTCTACGTCAATCTGACATTGGCATGTGACGTTTGGAAGATGTTGGATTTTGGTTACTTTACATCAAAACTTAAAACCAACAAAATATCAACGTCTAATGATGTTAGAATGTTACGTCAATCTGACGTTAAGGTTATGACGTTAAATAGACGTTGGGTTTTGGTCACCATACCTTACGACTGCATGTCAGTTTTCTACGTCAGTATGACGTTGGGATATGACGTTTGGAAGATGTTGGATTTTGGTTACTTTACATCACAACTTAAAACCAACAAAATATCAACGTCTAATGATGTTAGAATGTTACGTCAATCTGACGTTAAGGTTATTACGTTAAATAGACGTTGGGTTTTGGTCACCATACCTCACGACTGCATGTCAGTATTCTTCGTCAATCTGACGTTGGCATGTGACGTTTGGAAGACGTTGGATTTTGGTTACTTTACATCACAACTTAAAACCAACAAAACATCAACGTCTAATGATGTTAGAATGTTACGTCAATCTGACGTTAAGGTCATGATGTTAAATAGACGTTGGGTTTTGGTCACCATACCTCACGACCGCATGTCAGTATTCTACGTCTATCTGACGTTGGCATGTGACATTTGGAAGATGTTGGATTTTGGTTACTTTACATCACAACTTAAAACCAACAAAATATCAACGTCTAATGATGTTAGAATGTTACGTCAATCTGACGTTAAGGTTATGACATTAAATAGATGCTGGGTTTTGGTCACCATACCTCACGACTGCATGTCAGTTTTCTACATCAGTATGACGTTGGGATGTGACGGTTGGAAGACGTTGGATCTTGGTTAGTGAACATCACAACTTAAAACCAACAAAATATCAACATCAAATGATGTTAGAATGTTACGT